GAGATGTGCAGATCAATTAACTCTTATCTAATTGATATCCGGTGAAGGCCTCCACCGTCATTAGCGCTCCATTGTTCTTATCTATTTATCTATTGTTCACTGAATACCGTCATTATCTATTCTTCCTCAGCGTGGTGCTATTATATTATACTCCTTTGTTTCTATCTACACTAATCTGACTCATCAATAAAACACATTACCTAATTTTGTTAAAATTTTTATTTACAAAATACAAAATCTTATTACTTATTATCTATAAAATAGGAGCGAAACATCTCATCCACTAAAATATCGTTGTACAATGTGTTCCCTGTAAATATACTCGTAAAACTATGCATTGAACATCCCTGAAACTTATATAGCAAATACATTAAGCAATATTCGCCACAAACTGAAGTCCACTCATTCTGAATCCTATCAACATTCCAGTTCCATCTTTTACAATTTCTTTTTAAAAACTCTAGATGATATCGTACAGGTGCTCGTCCGAATGAATCAAAATATTGACCGACGTCATTCGTATCGATATATAAAGCTACCCAATGTGACCCTGGTTTATCATCTGTATCTAAATTGCATATTATACACGTGACTAAAAATATGTTTGTTCCAACAAACTTCACATAATAATGCTTCATTACTTCCCATCATCCCATTTCTTCCTTCTGCTCTTGTCTTCCTGTAATTTAAGTAAAAAGAATCACATTCACTAATGATCAACTAATGACTGTCATTGTTAAAAAAGTATTTTTTAACTACTCTAGTATACGTAGATGCGGTACACACTCAATATTTAAATATAATTTTTAACACTAAATCATACACACGTAAGAAAATAACATAAAGAAAAGTAAGTTTGTCAATAGAATAAACACTTAAAATTGCAATTAACAATTTAATTGGTGCCGGCGGGGATCGAACCCGGGTACTGTGAAATTTACAGCTTGCGCTATACACGGCTTAATCATATACACACACACAATATTTAAATATAATTTGTTAACACTAAATCATACACACGTAAGAAAATAACAGAAAGAAAAGTAACTTTGTCAATAGAATAAACACTTACATCCATGGCCTTTGATGCGTTGAAATAACACAAATGTAGTATTGATAGATCCACTGCGGTCAAACGACCATACACTAACTCCATGACTGCAGTTGCTTGGTCTTATATAGTACCAGTAAGTAATAATTCTAATCTAAAGAATTTCTGCAGTGGAATTGATAGTAACTTTAAGCGTCAACAGGCTTATCTCACATTTTGTTGCTTATCTCAACATTACTTCGTGTCGCGTCTTGTTCAGTGTATTGATGACTCAAATACGTTTTGTATAACACAAAATAATGCAATTTAATATTTAGAAATCACTATAATTGATCATTCCTATGTTAGTCATTGAGTAGATTGTACTGTAATAATCTACTAATAGCAGTAATATCATGGATACACTAGATGTACAACAACATCTGAAAAAGATTCACCCCACTCTAGAAAATAATGTTTATGCTGCCAATAAACTGCCCATGTACACCCACGTACCAACGTATATAATATGCAATTTGGATACAGATGATAAACCAGGGTCACATTGGGTAGCTTTATATATCGATACGAATGACGTCGGTCAATATTTTGATTCATTCGGACGAGCACCTGTACGATATCATCTAGAGTTTTTAAAAAGAAATTGTAAAAGATGGAACTGGAATGTTGATAGGATTCAGAATGAGTGGACTTCAGTTTGTGGCGAATATTGCTTAATGTATTTGCTATATAAGTTTCAGGGATGTTCAATGCATATTGCATTTACGAGTATATTTACAGGTAACACATTGTACAACGATATTTTAGTGGATGAAATGTTTCGCTCCTATTTTATAGATAATAAGTAATAAAATTTTGTATTTTGTAAATAAAAATTTTAACAAAATTAGGTAATGTGTTTTATTGATGAGTCAGATTAGTGTAGATAGAAACAAAGGAGTATAATATAATAGCACCACGCTGAGGAAGAATAGATAATGACGGTATTCAGTGAACAATGGGTAAATAGATAAGAACAATGGAGCGCTAATGACGGTGGAGGCCTTCACCGGATATCCATTAGATAAGAGTTAATTGATCTGCACATCTCCGGAGCCGTGCATCCTACGCAAAAATGGACCGCAGATTCGTGATCAGAGCATGCCAAAACCTTTTTTTTTAGGTTCGTGAGTCGACGAACGTCGTACTTGTACCATTTCTGACTCAGTGAGCCAGAACTGGTACAACGTAACTACTACAAAGAACTAGTCCTCTCGATCGCCCACAGTTGACTGAAGAAGTTACGGAGAAATGACCGAACTTAATACGCAATGTATTAAGACCGCAGAGCTCGTCTAGTAGTATACATAGAAGTCTTTTATTTCTAAGTGATAATAATCGATCAAGAACGTGGAAATTTTACCTCTAAAAACTGATTACCAACTAAACGGACACTATAAAGTGATTTCCTAAATGTTCCGCTATATTATTTTGGCACGGAACACTAATATATAATAGTGTTACAAATTTCAATAGTAAAACTATCCACATATTATACAAAAATGTCTTTTATATTATATTTTCATAATATTATCACATAACAAAACAACAATTCATATTAATCACCTCATAATATCTCTCATTTTACAAAACACAACGCTAATTCAGAGCAAATAGTCGTTTTTAAACAATTAAAACGTTATTGGAGTTGGAAGCCATGACATGACATATAATTTTAAATTTATTAGGAAGTTATTCTATTGTGATAAGTACATCGATATAAGGCGCAATTAGATTTCAAATAATAATGTCCTCCAGACCAATTTTGGTCACGACGGCCAGTGTCAAGTATTATGGCGCATGAGTGCATGCGCAAGCACAGGTGCACTCTCTATTCCTTCACTTTCATAGTCCGATGAGGCCTGAGAGAGATCAGGTGCAGGACCAACAGCCTTATGTGATTTCTGAGGCACGGAGGTGAAGCACCGCCAACTTCCTGACACCGGGCTGCTACTGAGAATTTCTAGACAGAAAACTCAATGACTGATTTTTGTTGGCTCGAACCGGGATTCGGGCCCTAGATCTCATGATCAGCAGTCGCGTTTATGACCGCTAGACCAACGAGGCAGTGCAAACCTCGAATAGCGGTGTCATCATTATTGGGCATCTTAGAGTGTTCTCATCTATGCGTTGAAATTGTTCTTAAACGAACGCCGCCGTGCGGTCTTGTTTCAAAAATATCAAATTAATTTTATGTAGATAATTCCAAGTTCACAAAATGACTGACACGAATGCTATACATGGAATAAAATTAATATTACGAATTTTATATGAACTTTCGGGAATTAAAAAAGCTAAAATTAAACGCGATAAAATACGTAATATCAGTTTTATTCTAATTCTTAAGTTGGGAAATAAATGAGATATAAATAGAAAAAAGCGAAAGAACTTTGTCTTTTTATTGTTATATCAGCTTTAATCACAGAAAACTAAATAATACTCTGATATATAATATGAAATCCGGATCTGATATAACAAAGAAATGTAATAAAAAAGGTACTATTTCGATTTTTGTGGCTTTAATATTTACTACATAAACGAATAGAAGAACAGGAAGCAAACGACAAGCCCAGTATTTTGGCACATTACGCCTTTGTTGAAATTGCGAGTTCGTTCAACTACGATTTATTTGAATCGGCGATACAGCCTGCAGATTGCACCTCGTTCCGAATTATTACAACATACAAATTATAAACACTTATACCATCCACTACAGCCTATAAAAGTCCACTACTGGACATAGGTCTCCCCCAAAGATTTCTTCTTGGGGGGGGGGGATTTTGTTTAGTCGGCACGCTTAGCGGGCGAGTAGGTAAAAGTAAAAGTAAAGTTACAGCCTATATTCGTCCCACTGCTGGGCACAGGCCTCCCCTCATTTCTGAGGGGGTTTTAGGGCAAGGAAGTGTCCGCCGCGCTGCCCCAATGCGTGTTGGCGAACTTCACATGTCTTCGAAATATTTTTTTTCTTATTCCTCAGACATGCAGGTTTCCTCACGATGTTTTTCTTCACCGCCGAGCACGTGGTAAATAAGCACTTAAAATTGCAATTAACAATTTCATTGGTGCCGGCGGGGTTCGAACCCGGGTTACTCGCGTTCTGTTATATTTACAGCGAGCGTTAACCATCTGAGCTACCACGGCTCTAGGCGAGTAGGTACCCGAAGTTAATTCATTGTTTTCAGTTGTCAGAAAGATGCACACTGTGCTTCCCCTCTGTTTCCCACTATACTTGGGGTAGCGGATATTCTTACATTCCAACATTTATACATATTGATAAAGCTTAATAAACGTATTTATAAAAATCCTTACAATAATACACACAGGCAATCCCTCTTTCCTGTACGTAGTATATACCTACAAGTTAGTGCGACAGTGGTAACAATCGGTCCCATCTGCGCTCAATCAGCTTTAATAAATGTATTGCTTTCAATGGAGACATCATTCGTCACCCCCTCGTCCTCGCGACGAGTCCCGCTCGCCCACTTGCTAATATTAGGGTTAATTAAACAAAACGGTTGATATGTTGCCATATTCCTGTAGCGGCGATGTAAGAATGTCTACTAGACCAAAAACTGGCAGCGGGGAACTGGAGCGGGATGCCAACTCAAAATAATAAAACTGCGGCTGCCAACCCGCCTGCCAAGCATGGCAACTGTGGCAACATCATAATATGAATAAATAAATATGTTACCATTCCCAAATGTTTTGCAGTTTAAATTTGTTAATTTCTGGTCACAAAATTAAGAAAATAAATGAAAATTACGTGCGTATTATAGCGTGATATTAAATGACTCCATAGATAAAGAATTTCAACTTGACGTAAGAAATCACGAGTATTCGAATAATAGAGTCATATTCATCGAAGTAATAGAGACGAAGTATTCATAATCCTTGGTGTCAATGTCTTTGCCTAGCGAGTCATAACCTCGCGGTTACGGAATGTGGTATGAGGTAGCGGAGGAGTTGAATCCAGGGTTTCATGCTCTACTGCTGCGACTTGCGATTGTTCCGGATGCTGCAGCGCACTGAGAGCTATCAGCAGTTGTCCCAGATAGTACGTCGACATCACGATCACCTGCGTACATCATCTCGATATCAAACTAATAAAACTAGCCGAGGGAGAGACGACATGACCGCGGAGACAAGTTAATATTTGATATGTATATAGTAATGGTGATGTATGATACTATATAATCCCCCCCCCTCCATTACATATTTATATTCATGGTCAATGCGTATAGTATAGTATAGTATAGTAGTGAAAAATATAGATTTATTTATCTTTTTTTCTATAGAATCGGGGTGACAAACGAACACAGTCCAGCTGACGGTAAGTGAATACTGTGCTCCATAGATATCGATCGATGTCTATCCTCGATTGAGAATTAAAATGTAGATGCGTTGTCACCCGTGAGGACTGAGATGGAATGCCTAGTTTCCAGTAAAAAGGGTCTCCGATTCTCCCCAGTCACCATACCAAACCCAGCAGCATTGAGTTGCTCTTTTATGCTTATCCTTATATTCTGTGAGAGCGTGGTCCTTTCCCGGTCGAGTCGACCATAACATAGCTGCAGCATCGCTCTGCCACGTTATATTTCCTTTATTTATTAACTATGTCCTCTCAGCCGACCTATCAAATTATATTTAGGAGGCAAGTGAAGTTCGGCAACTCACATTAGTGTAGCGCAGGTTCCATGTTAAAACTCAGTAAGTGACATTAATATTTTTGTTCTTACATATAATAATTGTCTACAGAAATATGAAAACATCTGCTATAAATACATTAAAGTAAGCATACGTTTTAATATGTATAAATATTATTTTATTAGGTATGTGTTATTAACGCTTTTCAAGGACTACCTCGATTTATGGTTGGTATCGGTGTTTTGCATGGTGAGTGACTGAGTGCAAAACCAGGACATCCTTTTTGCTGAAGTCCCCTAGGTTTATTAATTCAAAGTTTATAAGAGCCACAAATTTTTTCTTGCCAACCATAAATAGCACTTGCGTTATTAAAGCTCTTTGATTAAAAAAACTTATATGTCTTTATTCATAAGAAAAAATTATATTTATTCATCATATAAAAGTAGTGTTTTTTCACAATCTAATTTCTATATATATACACTTATATGGTATTATTAGATAATCACTTATTATTAACATAAAAAATTAAAATAATGAAACATTTGCATATTTACATTGTACGTCTTACAACACCAACTTGAACCTCAATAACTAACAAATTCAATTGAAGCTTGGCTTCGCATGGTTATTCAAGTAGACAATTTAAACTTTATTCAATAATGTAACTTGTATAAATAAAAAAGCAATAACATACATTTGAGCAAACAAAGTCAATGAGAGTGTTGGCTTTGCATGTTTTTAAAAAGTTTGGATAAATTTGGCTCATAAATTGTTGTTTTAAGTTTCAAACACGACTCGAAATTATCATTTGTTACTTGGCTTCTTACCTTACTTTTAGTTATATTAATGCAAGAAGGCTTGCTCGCACGAATATTTTTATCCGAAGATAGCTTTCTAAATGCCAACTTCTTCCCCTCATTGTAGCAATCTTGAAGACTATTACATGCGTCGAATATAAGTGCCTCAACTCGTGGCATTTTTTTTAAAACTGTTTATTTTTGTTGCGTTACGTACAAACATTTCTGGACCAAATTGCTTTTCAACTCTGTAAGTATTCCACTCCTTTGTAGAGTGTGGCTTTATTTTTGAAATCGATCAATAGTATTTCTAGAACTCCGGTATCAACTTCAAACGGCCCGGTGTGGATTTCGTTACTACTTGTGTTGAGAGGATTTACTATGAATGCTAGTGGTTTTGTTGGTTAAATTTGAAATTTGAAATCTATTAGCAAATTCATCTTTAACTTTGCACTGGTTTTATCGCGATATTGCTTTAGAAATTGAAAATGAAGTAATTTACCTCTCTGAATATCTTCTGCCAAAATAATTAATTTTTCTTCGAAACAAACCAATTCTTCCACCAAAACATAAGCTGGATTTTCCTTGTAGTTTTAGATTAGCATATTTCGCAGTGATATTCACCATAAAGTAAAATTTTTGCAATCATTTGTCGTTCTCTAATTCAGGGTGATTAGTCCCTTTTTCATTGATGAATGTATTTATTTCATTCAAGCATAATGCAAAACGTTTCAACACCTTACCTTTGAAAAATCATCGCACTTTATTGTGAAGAAGGAGGTCGGAATACTAGCTCTCCATTTCGTTTAAGAATTCTTTAAACTAACGATAGTAGAGTGCTTTTAACAAAATGCTGTTATCAATCTTGATTACCAAATTCGTGACCTCAATTATTCGTGACCTCAACTATTTCGGTCGGAAATGTTTGGGCACAAAGCGCTTCATGGTGTATTAAGCAGTGTAACTTATTGTTGCGCGCCTAAGTTGACGTGTGGCACTAGCGCCATCTAGTGTCGGGGACCACAAGGAGGAGGGCTTCCTAGAAAATGTCAATCTTGACTTTCGACCAACAGCGCCATCTAGTATCGAACAGAAGAATTAAGCTTTCTGGAATCCCCACACTCGAACTTTCTGCGCCTGGTCGGTTGGTTGAAAGAGCAGCAGGAGGAATAGGCTCGCCGACAGGACGAGCAGGCCCGTTGGTTGAAAGAGCAGCAAGAGGAACAGGCCCGTTAGTTGAAAGAGCAGCAGGAGGAACAGGCCCGCCGACAAGAGGAACAGGCCCGTCGACAGGAGGAACAGGCCCGCCAGCAGGCGGAACAGGCACGCCGATTGGAGGAGCAGCTGCGGGGTGGACAAGAGGAACAGGCCCTCGGTTGGAAGAGCAGATGCTCCTCATGAAGAATCTTCACGCTACCTTCGGGTAAGAGATGAAGGAGGTGAAGGATAAGGTTGCTCAACATGACAACCGCCTGTCGGAAACTGAAACCCGAATCGAGAAAGCTGAAACCTGAATCGACCAAATAAACAATCGGGTTGACAACGTAATGGCTGACATGAGGAAATCACTGGACGAACTCAAACTTCGGGATGGAACTAAAGATCCCGTAGTAGCTACAACACCTTTGCTACGTGGATTCAAAGTGCCGCCGTTCGACGGGACTTCTTCCTGGTTGGCCTACAAAATCCAGTTCGAGGCCGTCATGGAGGCGAACGGCTGGAACAAAAGCCAGGCCATGACTGCACTCACCCTAGGCCTGCGCTACCAAGCCTTAACTGTGTTGGAAGCTCTCGGTAAGAAAGTGACCTACGAGCAGCTCCTTGAGGCATTGTAGGCGAGATATGGCGACGCTCACCTGGAACACGTCTTTCGCGCGCAGCTTAAAGATCGCTGAAGAAGATTTAAGAAAACCAGCAGCAGTGGGCCCTTGAGGTGGAGAAGATAGTTCAAAAAGCATACCAGTCTGTACCTGCGCTCATTGAAGGGAACCTGGTGCAGACATTCATCGACGGCATCCGCGACCTTGAAGTCAAAGCTGCTCTGAGGCTCGGGCACCACGAGACACTTAGGGACGCCTTGGCCCATACACTGGAGGTGGAAGCCGTGCAGCAGGATCTTCACTCCCATCGCATCAGGGAGGTTGCAGCAGCTACGGTCCGCGACCGCAATAAAGGATATAGCCCTAGATGCTATGGCTGTGGGGAAAGGGGCCATCTTCGATCCAGCTGCCCCAAGCGAACCGTAGACAGGGAAGGTGAACGATATCAGAAGGGTGGTGCGGCTAACAACCCCGCCCAGCAGCAGCAAAGCCAGAACTGCGGGGCGGGTGCTGGGTGATGTTAAAAGAGCCTCAAGGGTCTCGATCTTACAAACCCATGATGGGAACAGTCTAATCATCAAGGGCGAGGTCAACGGAATGCCGTGTAAACTGACCATAGACACTGGAGCCTCTCGCACGGATGTTAGTTCCCAACTTATAAGACAGTTCCTTGGGGACTTCGCATACAACCGAGAACGCATTAATTTGGTAACAGCCACCGGTCAGCGTATACCCGTCCGTGGAGAGAAGGAGATGGAGTTGAAGCTAGGCAACATGATCTACCTGCATAATGTCATCGTGGCTGATATAATGGACGACTGCATCCTGGGCCTAGACTTTATGAGGAATAATTGTTGTGAGATCGGCGTTAAGCAAGGTGTTTTGAAATGTGGACAGGAGGAACTTTTTATGGAAGGTGCGTTACCAGGGTACGTGTACAGCATTAAGAAGATTGTTCTTCCGCCGTGATCGGAAACGATTGTGCCGGTTAGTCTTCCTCGGAACCCTGGGCAGCTCACTGTTGTGTACTTGTGGAAAGGGTAAACAATGACCTTCCATGGAAAGTAGCTGGAACCTTGGTCAGAACCACTGACATCTCAGGAGTACGTGTGCTGAACCTTTGTGACCAGGAACAGATTATAGAAAAAGGCACACTGGTTGGTAGTTGTGAGGAAGTGGATTGGTTACGTCAGTGCCAATATCTATCGAGTGATTCGAGTGGGACCCCCAGCAAGGATTCAGAAACGAGAGTGACCACACTTTTGGAAGACTATCGCAGCGTTCTCTCCCCGAACGAAATGGTCAAGGCGAAGAAGTTGTTACTCAAGTACGCCGTTGTATTCTCATCAAACGATGCTGACATAGGAAAGACTGGCTTAGTTCAACACAAAATAAACACAGGAGAAGAATTGCCTATACATCAACGGCCAAGAAGATTGCCGGTAGCACGTGAAAAGGAAGTGGAAACCATGATTGACGGAATGGTGAAGGATGGTGTTATTGAATCCTCATCTAGTCCATAGTGTTCACTCGTGGTGCTGGTAAAGAAGAAGGACCGCAGTATGGGGTTCTGTGTTGACTACCGCCGTCTGAACGACGTTACAAAGAAGGACAGCTATCCCTTGCCAAGAATCGATGACACGCTGGACATGCTTACAGGAGTAAAGTGGTTTAGCACGCTGGATCTAAAAAGTGGCTACTGGCAAGTTGAAATTGACACTAAGGACAAGGAGAAAACTGCGTTATCGACGGGAAAGGGTCTGTGGCAATTTAAAGTAATGCCGTTTGGATTGTGCAATGCTCCAGCAACGTTT